CTAGGAAGAATTAAGCTTCCAGAACATGGAAGTCCATTTAAAAATGATCATTCAACTGAAGGTCTTATTTAAAAGAGGATTTGGACTTAAACTCCTCGATTCTGCCAGGCGTGGTGTAGGAAGGGCAGAGGGGACGGGGCGAGCCTCGGGGTCTCTGCCCTGCGGGCCGTGCCCGGGCGGCGCCTGTAGCCTCTGCCCCCGCGCTCAGCCTTCCGCTCCCCCGCGAGGGCCTCTCCTGCCTGATCCCCGCCGGCCGGCCCTCCGTGTCCTCCCCCCGTCACCGTGGCGGAGCAGGCGTCCCCCTGCGCCGGGCCCGCCTGCTCACGTGGCGGCGTCTGTCGCCCCTTCAGAGCGTGATGAACATGATGCACGTGATCAGCATCCCATACTCGCTGATGAAGGTGAACCCGCTCTCCTGGATCCAGAAGGTCTGCCAGTACAAAGGTCGGTGGCCCTGGGGTCTGGGGGACAGAGCTCACGCGCCCCTCCTCTGTGATCGTGGCTGCCCCTCGTGTTCGGCGTGGGACGGGCCGAGGCCCGAGTTAACAGACTTCTGCTTTTCTTCTTAGCAAAAGTGGCCTGTGTGAAATCCAGGGACATGCACTGGGCGTTGGTGGCGCACAGAGACCAGAGAGACGTCAACCTCTCCTCTCTGCGGATGCTCATCGTGGCCGACGGAGCCAATCCCTGTGAGTGGGGCCTGCCGCGAACTTGAACTTGTCCCGAGAGGCCCTCGTCTTCTCGCTCTCATTCTTTGCACTTCGAGTTTTCTTTTTCTAATCTGTGTCTTAGTAAAGAAGTTGTCTTAAAATAACCAGACGGTATTATTCGCCGTAGCCCGAAGGCGCGGTAGCGTCACAGTCAGGAGCGAGGCATTTGCCGGCACACGGCCGTGGGAAGAGGAGAAACATCTCAGTTCTGTAGAGAGAGCTCCTTTTTTAATTCTGTTTCCCCAGCCGTAAATGGTACCTAAATCATAAGTTTTACGAGGGCTAGATGAAGTAACCCCTAAATATAGTTCTTCGGCACGTAGTAAGTGCTCAAGAAATACTGACTATTACTATTTCATGGTCTCTAGTACTGTTGATCAGTAAATTATCACTGGGATTTCGTTATGACATCCCGTAACAAAAAAACACTCAACCTAAATTAGTTCCACAGAAAACTGTCACTACACCTTGAGAGATGTTTCAGTCGGCTGGAGCTCGGACCTGGCTTGTTTCTGTGGGGAGGAGACGCAAAGCCAGAAGCAAAGTAAACTGAATGGAGGAATGAATGTTTCTAACCACGTTTATCAACCATGGAACGTATACACTTGCAAACTTTCCTGAGTTCCCGATACGCAGATGTAGGCGTGTGAGCAGATACGTTTTATAAAGAATCCTTTTGTTTACAAAATAATTCCATAAATCGCGAACTAATTTAGTAAACGTGTTTACCTGTAACCGTGCAGAGCTGCACATCTCGCATGCGGCAGGTAAACCGCCGTGTTGGGACTGGCTTAGCGGTTGGCTCCCGGTGACTATGCCTCAGTCTCATAAATACAGGGGAGTGTGTCCTCTCTGGGTCACGTTCGGATTCGCCCATCCCTCAGGACTTGCGTCCTGGAGATAGTGGAGCAAGTCTCAGGAAAGTTAGCAAAGGAAGCTTGTCGTCTACAGAAACATCTACAGTGTAGACGTTGCGTTTGTTGCATTCTTGAGTTCTGTAAGTTGGGGTTGTTGTCTTTCTTCGTAGCATAAATGGTGAATCGCCCTAAAGGAACGTGTTTCTGCGCTGCCCCGGCCCCGACTGCCCACCTGTTCTGTGTCGTGGGTGCTTCAGCCCTCCGACCCTTGCCCTCCGACCCTTGTCCTCTCTCCTCCAGGGTCCATTTCTTCTTGTGACGCGTTTCTCAACGTCTTCCAAAGCAAAGGCCTTCGACAGGAGGTCATCTGTCCTTGCGCCAGCTCGCCAGAGGCCCTCACCGTGGCCATCCGGAGGTACGTGTCACGTCAGTTCACGTGAGATCGGCCCTTGGGGACGCGCTTATCTCTGCCACGTGCTGGAGTGTGGGTTCTTGGGACCAGTGCAGATTCATTCTTTAGAAAAACGTTTCTCACCTCCGTTTCCTTGCGTTTCCTGGGTGAGGGGAGCTCGGTCCACAGGTACACGGATCAGTGATGTCTCGTCCTCGCAGGTTTCCCAGATTTTCATTCCCTCCCGTCGGTCTCGGGTTTAGTTTGGGATGTTGGGCGGCGTGAGGTTTTTGTAGCCAGGCGCGTACTGCAAAGACCCTGTTTCCAGATGAGGTTGCAGTCGTGGGTACAAGCGGTTCTCTGTCGTGGGGGACGCGGTTCAACCCACAATAGATTCTGAAGCTTACGGTTTCTCACTTTCACATTGAGCCTCCATAGAGGACGGTGTAGCGTCAGGAAATTGTGGCAGAACCACTGAGAACACCCTTGTTCTCATTTCCAAGTTTTGGTTTGTTGGAGTCTTTGGGAAAGGAGAGGCCAGAGTACTACACGTTCCAGCGTTCTGAGCTCAGTGCGTCCAGGTGGTCTCCTGTGGGTTTTATTATTTCGGCTGACTTCACTTTCTCTCTGGTTAGCCCTGCCCTTTTTGATTCTTACATGTAGAATAATTCTATTTCCAGACTCTTTTATGCTTTTTAAAAAAAATACACCAGTTACTTAATTCAAACGAGATCTCCTTTTGCAAATTTTAGCTTTTATGTCACCCCATTTATATCTTTAGATTTGCTATAAACCGTAATATTTTAAAGTTAAACAGCAAACTTACATTTATAGTCCAACTTTTAGATCTCAAAACTACATTAAAGATGAGTATATGGAAAATTATAGAAACAAATTTAGTATTGACCTAAGTTGTGGTCTCCCCCTTAGACCACATTAGAGAATCTTTACTTTTCAGGGAAAAAATGTCCACAATCTTGGAAATAGTTTATTTATTCACTAATTCGGTGAACAGATCTTTATTACTGGATGCTGTTCCAGGGTGACACACAGCAAACAGAACAGACGCTGCCGCCTTGGAAAGGTTGGCATCTGGGGACGGGGTGTGGGGCGGGTGTGTTTCTGTGAAGTGACGAGAGGTCCCATATCTGAGCCAAACCCGGAAGACCGGGGGACGGCCACGTGGACATCTGCAGGAAGAATGTTCTGGGTAGAGGTGGAAAGCTGCACAAAAGCCCCATGCGGGCATGAGCTGGGAGCCTGGGAGGAGTGGAATGGGAGGGCTGGTCTCAGGCAGCCATTGTGAACACGGTGGGCTCTCGAAGACTGCGCTTCATTAACCTCTTCTCCCCTGACCCACAGAGCATTGTGCAGCATATGCCTGTCGTCCAAATAGCTTCCCTTAAAGCCGGCTGGCAGAAGGGCATAGCGTAGATCTTACTTCGGATTCTTCTGTATGAAATTGGGCGTGAGCTACATGGTGTGCGTCTGAACCAAGCTAGACGGTCACCGTGTCGTGCCGTTCTCAGACGATTCTGCCTCTTTCCAGCCAGACCTTGCAGGGGGCGGCCTCAGGGGGAGGCAGAGGGTTGGGTCTGAGAGATTTTATGATGTCCTGGGAACTCAGAGGTAGAATTAGGGGACGTGTCGCCATCTGCCCCTAAACAGAATATGGCGGCTCCTTGACCGCGTGGCTGGCTGGCGTCCTCAGAGTGCCCTGGGTGTGCGGCTGACGTGCGCTTCCGTGGCTGTGCTGCTCTGTCTGCGCACACTCAGACGCAAACTGCCGTTACAGGCCCACAGACGACAGCAACCAGCCGCCCGGCCGGGGCGTGCTCTCCATGCACGGGCTGACCTACGGCGTCATCCGCGTGGACTCGGAGGAGAAGCTGTCTGTGCTGACGGTGCAGGACGTCGGCCTGGTGATGCCTGGAGGTGAGCGTGGGCCTGGGGCGGGGGGCGCTGCGTTTCGGGGCGGGGATCCTGACCCTCGTCCCGTGGGCTGATCGGTGGCTGAGCGCTCGCCTGTCTCACGTCACCCCGTCCCTCCGTCGCTCTGGCGTGAGCTCTCGGGCTTCACTTCCAGTCTCCTGACATCTTCGTTAGCTTCAAACACCTAAGGCCTCGTGCTCCTTCCTCTGACGAAGTAAAGCCCCGAATGCTTGAGAACGAGGCCTCTTTGCGCACGGGGACCCCGGGGCGCTCTTCCGCGGATGGCACCACGAACCCTCTGCCCCACGGTGCCCGGGCGGCTCTCCCCGCTCTGACCCGGAGGACGTGCCCGCCAGCGCCCGACTCCCCGGCTGGCCTTCCCCGAGGCTTTTCGCAGATGTGTGCGAAATCCCAGGAACGTGAGTCTGTGGAATCAGTGAAGCTCGTTTTTAGCAATTAAGCCGTTGTTTTAAAGTCACAGAAACCCTTTCCAGAGGTTCACAGAGACGACCGCCTGGGCGAAGGGCCCCACCTGCCTTTCGCCTGCCACGCAGTGACTCGGGCACCTCCCGGGGGCCACGGGTGTGACCCGCCGCCCTGTGGTTTGCGCAGTGCGCTCACCTGGGCCCTGGCGTCGTTGCGGGACCACAGGTGTCGGCATTTAGGCTCCTCACTGTCTGCCCCCGAAATGGAGCTGGGGTCCCCGCCCGGAGCCTGGCTCTCCTGACCAGCCCCTCCACGCGCAGGTGTGGTCTCGCCCCCGTAGCAGGACGGCCACGCCCAGCGTGAGCAGCACTGGTCACGCGTGTTCAGCATGTGCAGGAAACTTCACAGAGATCCCAGCCTGAGTCGCGCCTGGAGGGTAGACGGCCACTCGGCCAGGCCTCCTGGCTCCGATTCTTTCTTTAAAAAATACATTTCATTTTGAAGTCAATAGTAGAGCCCCACGATGGACTCGTTGAAAGATTCTGGAGGTTACACCATGAAAATCCTCCCTCCCGAACACCGGGGCATCCGCAGACGGTCAGCGTCATCGGGTCACGCGCGGAAGCCTTTGAGCAACGTTCTCTGAAGGACTCGCCCTACGGGGAATTTGAAATCAAAGATCGAATTTCCATGAGACACCGGAAGCTCAGACGCCACGTTCGGGGGAGAGAAGCGTCGACAGACCGAAGGGAGTGTCTGCGCTGCCTGATCCGCGGAGTTCCGGTGCATCCTGGAAGTCACACCCGTGCTGCCGCCAACACGCGTGTAGCGGACGCCCTTGCATTCGCTCTGCGTGCCGCCCTCACGTCCAAGTGACAGACGCTGTTCCCCTTACGTGTAATTCACGCGTTAAAATCAAAGCACTCGAAACTGCGTATCAACGTCACAACTGTGCAGCGTGACGTGTTCCCGCAGCGTGAAGAATCACGACTCTCTTTAGGGGACGCGAGTGGCTGGCCGACGGAGACACGCGCAGTTTCTGTTCTCGCGTGTCCTCCTCTTACTCGTTCGTTCCTTCCCCACCCCCCTCCCCGCCGGCTCTAACACGCGTGTGCACCATTTGCTTCCAGCCATCATGTGTTCGGTGAAGCCGGACGGGATTCCGCAGCTGTGCAGGACGGACGAGATCGGGGAGCTCTGCGTGTGCGCGGTGGCGACGGGCACCTCCTACTACGGCCTCTCCGGCATGACCAAGAACACCTTCGAGGTAGGTGGGAGCTGCTCCGCGAGCCCCGCCCCGGGGCGGCCTCCGGACGGCGCGGCCCGTGCGTGGCAGCGGGTGGGAAATGTGAGCGGGTTGTTGTCGTCCAATAAAACGTGTTTGTGTTAATTGACACAGTTTTCCTTTCTCCTGCCATCTTCTGTCTATGGCTTTTGGTGATGTTATCAGCATCGTTCTGACCTTATAACAGGCGTCAAGAAAGAATAATCATGATTTCGTAAAAATGGGCCTTTTAAAATTTGTTACTCACCTTCTCCTATTTAGCAAAAGTGCCAGGCGAGAGGTGGGTGATGCAGGACATGTACATGCGTGTGCGTGAACAACTTCACCTGGGGAGGGCCACTGGCCGCCCCTACAGCCTCTCAGCTAAGCTAGACGTGGCCGGTGTGGACCTGAGACTTGAACACGTGTGCGTTAAGTGTGTGTGGTGTGTACACATTTGTGGGGGTGTGGCAGGTGTGTGTATGCACATATGTGTGCTGTGCACACGTGTGCGGAGGCGTGTGCGGCGGGCATTGTGTGGGGTGCACACGTGTGCTGCACAGTGAGCAGAGACGTTGAGGGTTAGACTCACGGGCTCGGTGTTCAGTGCCGCGTCCTGGGGTTCCCAGAACTTTTATCTTCTCACCCGGCGATCCCGGCCTCGGGGGCAGCGCGGTATTTGAGTCACACGTGAGAAAACGTCAACCCCGTGGGGACACGTTTCCCCAACGTTTAGAGCTTTGGTTGTGGCTGAACAGGTGTGTCGTGGTGCCTGTCCGGGCTGGCTTTGTGGAACGTGAATTCAACTTTCTAGAATATCCCTCATCGCCAGAGCTGGATGCGAGACCCACCCCTCTGTGAGATGCCCCTGCGGGTCGGAGGGAAAGAGGTTTAGACTCTGAACTCCGTTTGATTTGATTCCTCTGTATATTTCTCTTTTCAGTGTATTTCCGACAAGGAAGGGTAGCATTTTAATGAACGGGGATCAGTTACTTTATAGCTAACGTGGGCCGTTTAAAATGCACCTTGGTTCTTCCTCTGTTACTTCTGTGCTGTGGTTTTACAAATGAGAGAATTCGTTGCCCCCCCTCAGATGGGGTCGTGCTGTCTGGGTGTCCCCGGCTCCGCCTTCCGGGGCCTGTGGGAGGGGAGCGGGCGTGAGGCTCCCGCGCTTCCTGGAGGTGCGGGGCCGGTTCAGCCTCTGCTGGGGCCCGTGGGTGGGAGGAAGCCGCGGTCGCCTTGGGAGCCGGCAGCCCCGGCAGGTTGCTCAGGAGGTGGACTCGGGCCGGGCGCGGCCGTGAGAGGTGACTGCAGCTGTGTCCCCAGGTGTTCCCCATGACGAGCTCGGGGGCGCCCATCAGCGAGTACCCCTTCATCAGGACAGGCCTGCTGGGCTTCGTCGGTCCCGGGGGGCTCGTCTTCGTGGTGGGCAAGATGGACGGCCTCATGGTGGTCAGCGGCCGCAGGCACAACGCCGATGACATCGTGGCGACGGCGCTGGCCGTGGAGCCCATGAAGTTCGTCTACAGAGGAAGGTCGGTGGCGCTGTGAGCGAATCGGGCACGTTTTTCTGTAGACCGTGCTTCTCACGTGGGTGAGAAGAGTTCAACAGTTGCGTAGACGCCTCATGTATTGTGACTCAGTTTCCCCTTCTGTGCAGTTGAAGCAGCTGGACTCTGACGTCTGAGAGTTCAGCTAGTTCTGAATGCACAAGATTTTGTGTTAATTTCCTGAGCCCCACGAAAATATTTTCACTCACTTTCCCTGTAAGTTACATTGTCCGTCTGAAACTTACTTTTAATAAATAACTCCACAAACTAAAGGTCCGAATACTCACCTTGATGCAGCTTGGAAGGAACCAGTAGTGGAGTCACAGGTTTGCTCGGAGGAGCTGACGCCACCAACTCCCGCCTCTCCCGATCTCCTCTTCCCCACCTTGCCCGGCACACGGGAGAGGCTCAGCAGTTCTTGGATTAGCTGCTACGGCTCTTGAGTTTTTCGCTAATTTGAAGGAAGTCGTAGCTGCGTTAGAACCTTATGTTTGTTGGAGGCTCGTGGAAGAGGGAGAAGGTGGACGCTTGGATGTGCCGTGGCCGCCTCTGAGTCCTCTTTAGAGAAACCACAGCCGTCTGTGCAGAGTGCGCAGGAGTGTCGCGCTCGCGGCTGTGTGCCGGCCGTGTGGGCAGGTGTGTTCGGCGGAAGGCAGCGGTCCCTGGCGGGCAGCTGCTGCTGATGTGGAGGAGGTTGGGATGCAAGTGAGGTGGCCCCTGACGTCAGCAGGTCTGATGGTCGTGCGCTGACCCCCTGCCCCCGACCCGTGGGCGCCATGAGGGCGTGTGTGGCCCCCGGCCGTTCTTGCAGTGGCCTTTGGAGTGGTGGTCGGAGCTGCATCTCCTGCGCTTTGCGGCCGATCACGGTTGTGGGATTCCTGCCAGGAGAGTGTCCCCAAGGCCCGCTCACCCCGCTCCTCTGTCCCTGCAGGATAGCCGTGTTCTCGGTGACGGTCCTCCACGACGACAGGATCGTGATCGTGGCGGAGCAGAGGCCGGACTCCACGGAGGAGGACAGCTTCCAGTGGATGAGCCGGGTGCTCCAGGTCGCGCCCTGCCCCCTTGCTCGTTAGGGTTAGGGCCTGGCCCCAGCAGCAAGGGGTCCCCTTTCCCCCCTCCTGTTTGACCACAGAGCACGTCTGGCGTCCAGGAAACCCTCCGCAGTCGGGGTTAGGTCAGGACTTTGCAAAGCTGCTCCCCCCCACTTCACGCTGGGCATTCATTTTTCTCTAAATATCCTCATTTACCGTTTGTGCTCTTTTTTTTTTTTTTTGAGACAGAGTCTCACTGTGTTGCCCGGGCTAGAGTAAGTGCCGTGGCGTCAGCCTAGCTCACA